TCGTATGCTTCATCGATGCGCTTGACGAGTGTGAAGAAGGGCAGGTTCGGGACATGATCCAGTTCTTTGAGCACATGGGCGATCTATCTGTATCAAACGGCATCCGCTTCCAGGTCTGTTTCTCAAGCCGGCACTACCCGTACATCACAATCCGCAACGGCTTGGAGCTAGTGTTAGAGGGACAAGAGGGACACTCGCAAGACATCACCAACTACGTCGAGACTGAGCTAAAGATTGGTAAGAGCAAGGCCGCACAGCAAATTCGAGCTGAGCTACAGGAGAAGGCGTCAGGAATCTTTATATAGGTTGTTCTTGTAGTTGGCATGTTGAACAAAGAGTCAGACTGCGGGTATGTCCACACGCTCCGGCGAAAACTACGAGAGATCCCTAGCGACTTGCACGAGCTGTTCCGCGATATCTTGACACAAGACACACAAAAAAAAGCTGAACTAGTCTTGTGTATCCAGTGGATACTTTTTTCAAAGCAGCCACTCAGCCTAGAGCAGCTGTATCATGCGATCCTATCAGGCGTTCATCCTGAAGAAGTGGTAGAATGGAATCCAGAGGAGATCACTAAAGACGTAGTTAAGCGATTCATCCTTAATTCGTCTAAAGGTCTTGCAGAAGCCACTGTGTCTAAGGAGCAGAAAGTCCAATTTATACACGAGTCGGTGAGAGACTTCCTACTCAAGGAGAACGGCCTTGGAAAGATCTAGCCAGAGTATGAAAACAACTTTCAGGGTCAAAGTCATGACCAACTGAAACAATGCTGCTTCAACTACATCAGCATTGACATTGCCACGCCCTTAAGAATTCCTGAAATTCTTCCAAAAGCCTCCTCGCAACCAGCAGCAGGCCTACGCAAGTCAGCGACGCAAACGTACCCCTTTCTAGAGTATGCTGTACGTAATGTGCTGTATCACGCAGACGCAGCAGAAGGCGGAGGCATCTCCCAGGTGGACTTTCTTGACAGCTTTCCGCTTCCTCAATGGGTCAAGCTCAACAACCTGTTTGAGAAGCATAAGATACGCAGACACACAGCATGTGTTAGTGTGCTGTATCTACTTGCGGAGCTAAACATGGCGAAGCTGATCAGAGTCCTTGGTTCAGCTAGCCGCTGTTTGGATGTTGAGGCTGAGCGCTACGGCTGTCCACTTTTCGCCGCAGCTGCTACAAGCAGCGAACAGGCTCTTGAAGTGTGTTTAGAATCAATTAGTGTGCGAAAAGATGAGAGTAGCCCTGTTGCAGCAGTAAGTGAACAACAGTCCCAGCACAAGTCGGATCAGCGCGCTGCAAGGCGCGACTTTGTGTACTCGAAGTCAAAAGGATTTCTTCTAGGTGCAGCAGAGCTTGGGCACGACGGGGTTCTTACGATTTTACTCAAATCTAGGAGGTTTGCGATTGATTCAAAAGATTCAAAAGATTCAAAAGATAGGACTTTACTGTGGTGGGCTTGCAGGAATGGCTGTGAGATGTCCGCAAGGTTGTTACTTGCTGCAGACTCCACCATGATCAACAACAAGGATAAGGACAATAAGTCCCCATTACTTATAGCAGCAGAGCAGGGGAATTCAGGGGTGAATGGAGTCCTGCTAGACAAGGGTGCCAACGTCAACGCGCAGCGTGGACAGTACGGCAACGCACTCTACGCGGCGTCAGCTGGAGGC